TGTCATCACTAGCCTGATGACTGACCCCGTCTCTTGCTACCATTAGCCTAGTAACTGGCCCAGTCTCATGTCATCACTAGCCTGATGACTGGCTCAGTCGCTTGTTACTACTTAGACCTGGTAATCCTAATCCCAGTCGCTTGTTACCACTTAAACCTGGTAACCCCAGTCACCGTCTCATAAACATGATTCACACACATACACCAAAACTATAGTTTTAATCCCAACACACACAAAATTTCCCTTTTCATCACAAAAGCAATGATATAAAATCATCCCACAAATTTTTCACAATTCACATGTATAACAGTTTATAATTTCAAAACATTTAATTGCAACCCCAAACATTAATACATATATCATATATATGAAAAATTCACACACACGCACCCACACATTGAATATAGAAATTTCTCCCAAAAGAAGTAGTAAACTACTCACATTGATTTCCAAAATCTAATTCAAAGCACTCATTCCCAACCTCAATGCAATCACCATCTAATCCAAAATAACATATAACAATCAATCACTTTTCTAATTTCGTCGTTTCGCAATTCTATATTTAATTTTTATACTTCTTCCCCATTGATATATACTTAATATATCTTTTACATATAAATATTCTTTCTAATATGAGGTGATAGGGTATGAAAATATTTTGGACTGTTTGAAATTTGTTTTTAAAGTTTTGGGGTCAAATCATAATTTTTTTTGAAACTTTTGGGGTCGAAGTATAATTTTGAATACTTTCCAAGGCTCGAGGGCTGTTTTCAAAATTATAAATCTTATTTCAAAACTATTAGGGTCATCTTTGCAAATTATCAGGTGAAAAAGTGATCAAAACTGAATTTATGAAAATATAGGGAGGTCACAATGACATCTCTTGTAACTAATGGGAATTTCTATAATTTTCTACCTTTTCACCTTCTTCTTCCTACGATAACCCTAAACCAATAGCTTCCTTCTTCTTCTTCTTCTTCTTCTTTTTTTTTTTTTTTTTCTTTTTACACATTGATTAAATTTTTTACAAACTTCAAGACTAACCAATCTAACTTAGGTTTAAAAACACCTAAATTAGCAACTTCTAATAAAACCCATATATACATTCACCACTATTCCCCACCATGAACACACACACACACACATATATATATATAGTCTTTATCACTATTTATGATAACCTTAATCCTTTGTAATTGAAAAACTTACAAACCTATCAATAATTAGTGGATTCATCATACCTTTAATGAGTCAAATCCCCTTTTTTTTTCTTCCTTTTTGTTCTTCTTTGTACCTTCTCTCTATTTCTCTGTTTCTTTTTTTCTCTCTGCCGCCACCTTCCAGCCCAACAATACTGATAATATACGAGGCAACTTAGGGCAGTCAATCTATTTATAAGACAATCGTTATTTCCCTTTAATGTCACTTAAGTCCCTATAATTTCTTAGAATTACAATTTTAATCATAACATATTAGCGTACAACCAATTTTAAATTTTCTAAATAACTTTCTCTCTTTTTATTTATTAAAAAAAAAAATCCAAACACATACCTGTATTGGGTATTACACGAAGAGTACCTCGTGTGGCGTCATCTTGGGGATTGGCTAGCGGTGGTTGGGTGTGGCATTGAGAGAGATATGAGAGAGAAGATGGTGTCCATTCTCTTCCCCTTCTCCACCGCCAGTCGATCAATGCTTTCCACAGGTTAGCGTGAGAGATTTATTTGTGTGTTTGGTGTGTGATGAGTGTGTGTGTGTGTGTTGTGCGATGTGCGTGGTGTGGGTGCTGTAGAGAAGACAAAAAAAAAAGAGAGAAGAGGAACCTGATTCGTTGCTCTCCATGGTGGTGGGTTCCTGGCCGGCTTTATAGTGGTGGGTGGGTTATTCAAGCAAATAGAGAAGGGAGAGTGAAGAGAGAAGAAAGAAGAAATAAGATTAGATTAGACATTACAGAATAGGGGAGAGAAATCAAGTGACAGACAGATGAGAGAGGAGAGAGAGAGAGTGAAAGTTGGGAAGAGTGGTTGAAAAGAAAGGAATTGAGGGCGAAAATATTTGATATTAAATTTTTGAATGAGATATTGGTGATCGTTGGATGAATTGATTTAAAATTGTTGAATTTGTTTGTTGAAACCGCCTTGTTTTATATTATAAATGTGAGATTTATTTTCACACCTCATTAAAAATGGTTGCTATTCACGGACTTTTGTGCTCATTCAAACATTTAACATTTTTCTAGTGAGGATCAGGGACAGGAATAACTCCTTGGATAGACAAGGGATTAAAAGAATTGAAGATTTATTTTATTGTAGGTCTTCGAAAATAAATGTCTTTTGTAGTTTTGAAACAAATATTCAATTATTTTGGAAACAATGTTGTTTATGTTTAGAGTAGTGAACCTTATAGTTTAGTTATTGTTTTACATGAGTTTAATAATGATGTTGGTGATGTTTAGTTTATTTTTCTGATGTTTTTTAGGTCGATGAATTGAATCACTTTATTATTTGTCTTTCACTGTATTTTATATTTATTATGCACATGATTAATTGATTAAGGCTTTGGAAGGGATCCGTCACCCACCATATGTGATCCAGGGCGGCGGTGTGGCGGTTTTTAAACACTAGCTGCATTAGATGATGCTGAACTTCAATTTTGCCATTAAGGAAGTCATTCTGCTTATTGACTGTTTCAGCTTCGGCTTTAAAGGCCGATATGCTCAAGGTCAAAGTACAATGGGTAGAAAAACCATGGTATGAACAATTTCTCCCCGGTGCGAGCTCGAATAGTACTATTGTCGACTTCAAGTTTGGGTTAGACTGGGCTTGAGGTAAAACTTGTTCCTTTGGGGGTGCGCCATTCATCAAAACGTAGGTGAAACACGATGTGATTCATCGGTTGAGGAGACAAGGCTTGCGAAGAGGGTATCTTTTTAGGAGTAATGTTATGTTGATCAAATTTTAGAATTAAATTAACAGTTTAAATAACATGACAATATATTATTTGAAGTCTTTATTAAGGTCTAAATGACATAATACTAAATAAATAAATCAAGTCAGTTATCATGTCATTTAAATTTTTAATTTGAATTTAATTAATATAACATTACTGTTTTTTAAGACATTCTTATCTTGTGCGTACACGTGGATCTGATTAGTGGTGCACCTTGAACGCTTTTGAACGCATGCCCATCACATTAATTATAGATGAGGGGACTGAACCGCCAAAAATTGAAGACATTTGAACTTTTTTATCTCTGCTGCTGACAAGCCCCAATAATTTCATTCAATGAACCAAGAGGTCTTTGAAGCATTTAGGGTTGTGTCATTCACCCCTCAAAGCCTTTTTGTCTAGTCCACCTATTTTTAGGTACATTTTTTTTCCTTACACCACCCTGGACCGAATTGATCCTTCGTGGTGGTCTGTAGGATTTTGATTTGTAATTCTCAAGTTTTGCTTCTTTAGGAATTTTTCTGGGTCTTCTACGTCTCTTCCCTTCTTCATCGATCGTCCTTTGTTGTTTGTTATCTTGAGTGAGGTTTTGGAGTCTTGACCTGAGGGTCGTAGAAGTCTGTTTGCCTAATTTATATCATAGGTTAAAGTGCGGGATTCCCATGGTAAAGGTTGTGTCTGATACTTCCTCTGAATCCATTCCTTGGAATACCCAAACACCGTGGGATAGTTCAAAGGATGAAGGGTCCCATTATTCTCATAGGGATAAAGATCCCTCTGTTGAGGATGTCAAGGAAAGAGTACTTCCTTTAAAGTTTTGATTGTGAAAAATGCTTGAAAGATCAGCGGGTGACCCTATTTATGGAATTCAATGGAGAACCTAAGATCTGAATCAGGCGGAAATTAGAGCCTTTACTTTCTAAAGCACACTCACTCTAAGGTTGGAACCTAGTTCGACTTTGAACTCTGGTGCGGGATTAGCCATCAAAAATCAAAGAGTAAAGGAGATTTATGGACCGAGTTGTAGCCATTGGTATCATGATTTCCAATTTTATTCCAACATCACAACCACTAGTGTTGCTCGTAAGTTTAATTTTCTTTTCTGTTTGATTGTTTACTGCAATGCACATTCACAATATCTATTGAATCTTTTTTCTTGATGTTACATCCCGGTTTCAAAGTTTGTCAATTTTGGTCAAGTCTTCCATTTGTCATCTGTTTGATTTTACATTTAACAAGGCTAAGTGATGCCGTAGCATTAGATCGAGATTGTTTCTTGTGTAACTAGGTCCCTGTTAATACATGACGAGTATCTATCGTTTTGATAAAAAATAAGAATAAGTATAGTCAAAAAATTGAAATCCCCTAATGATAATCTTGATAGAAATAGTCTTTTTAGGTTACGTTTTTTAGAAAACAGTTTTTTTCTTAGTTTACTTCCAATATTAAGTAAGGATGGATCTTAATATTAATGGGGATTAGTGTCAATCTAACAACATCATCATTGCATTATTTTCTCATTCAAATTATATACAAAGAGTATATATTACTAAACAAATAAAGTGACAAGCAAAATTCAAGTTTGTCATACACAAAGAGATTATGATTAAGGCTATCAATGGATCCTGTTGGGTTTATAGTCACGGACCATCAGATCTATGTCTTGTATACTCTCTCTTTAGCCAGATTTGTGCCCATCCATTCTTTAACGGGTGTAATAGGATATCTTTTGAAGTAATTTTTATTTTTAAAATATTTCCTTAGCATTTTTACTTTTTTATTGTCTGGACTTGCTCTTTTCCTCCAAGTTTAATCACACATGTTCTAGTGTAGAATGTAGATACACACATCCATAAATATATTATTCAATTTCTAAGATTTATATAAATTATTTTAGTAAAATGGTAATAAAAATATTTTTTTATGACATTAATTTTGTTGTTGTCATTGTTATAAACTACATAAATAACATCTTTGAAATATGATCAAACAAAAGAATACAACAATTCAGCAAAAGCTTTGATTCAAAACAAAATGCTTGAACCAAGGAAGTGTCAATATCTTTATTCCTAAAATTTGTAATCTGAAATACTATCGAGGATATAATTCAGTGATTGAAGCCTCATTCGCTGAACAAAGGTTAGGATTGACTTTCTGACTGATGGATTGAGTTGCTTCTAAATTATGCAACTGATGCAATGGCATTTTCGAATCACCATGATTGAATATGAAAAATCCGGGTTCTGAAGGTACTGTGAGAGTGAGAGAGAAGCTATTAAGCATCAGAAAAACTGAAGCCATAGTTGGTCTATTTGCTACATTATCCTGAACACATAGCAGTCCAATATGAATGCATCTCATTATGTCTTGAACTGAATTTGAGCACCCAATCAATTCGGGATCTATCAGATTTGAAGTCGTACTCTGTTGCCAATTTTTCCAAGCCTACAAGAATGCAACATCAGCAATTACAAGTTTTCATTGGATTATAATGCCTGCAACCAGGCTACTATTGAATCATATCCTTATTTATACTTACATAGCTAAGGAGATCCTTTTCATTCTCCCCTTCTCGAAAAGAGTTGTTTTTTTTACCACTTACAATCTCTAGAACTAACACTCCAAAACTGAAGACATCTGACTTAACAGAGAATTCTCCATGCATTACGTATTCTGGTGCCATATATCCACTGCAATTTTTTAGTCGTAGCTGACAATTAGTATTAGAAGCTGAAGACCATATTTAGGCTTGAAGATAGGCTACAACTTAAACCTCTTATATTCTTCCCAAGAGATTTCAAGTAACTAATTTGTATCTTCAATATTACCTACAGAATCTGTAGAACTTTTGTGCTACTTCGATGATAGATAATCTATACAAGAGGATTTAACAAATATAAGCAAAGATTCATTTGATACTTACAAAGTCCCCGCAATCCTATTCGTGTTGCCGTGAGTTTCATCATGCACAGAAAGCTTTGCCATCCCAAAATCCGAAATTTTAGGGTTCATATCTGCATCTAACAGAATATTACTAGCTTTGAGATCACGATGAATAATTTGATGTTGAGAACCTTCATGAAGGTAAAGAAGTCCCTTAGCAATGCCTCCTATGATTGTGTAGCGCGTATCCCAATCTAAATGTGATCGTTTAATTGGATCTACAATTCCAGCCAAGCATATGATTTAGTCAGAGTTTTAAGAAATCATAATCCTTTTAGAAAACAAATATATATCTCATTTTTATTTTGGTTTTGTGAGGTATTTTAACAAAATAAATTTGAGATAAGTATTCTAAATGATTAATGTAAGCCTCACAGAAAAGAACTTTAGGGCATGTTGATTGTCGAGTGCTACATACCAAATATGAAATGATCAAGACTTTTATTGGGCAAAAACTCATATACGAGAAGTCTTTCTGTTCCTTCCAGGCAGAAACCTACAAGCTTAACTAAATTTCTGTGCTGAAGCTTCACCACCAATAAGACTTCATTCCTAAACTCTTGTTCACCTTGTCCAGAACCTTTGGACAACCTTTTCACAGCTATTTCCTTTCCGTTTGGAAGTGTACCCTGTGGATGTCAAAACCAGTATTAGATAAATTTGTTCTCTTAAGCAATGATATTTTTTGACTTGATACATGTAGACACATTTTCATAATGGAAATTACTAATTTACCTTGTAAACAGGCCCAAATCCACCTTCTCCAAGCTTGTCAGAAAAGTTATTTGTAGCAGTTTCGATTGTACCAAAATCATAACGCAAGGTTTCTAGGATGGTGATTTCATCATCGTCTTCAAAAAAAAAATGAATGCAATACTAAACCAAATTAGAGTAGTATATGGCTATACATATGCATTACAACCATGGCAAACATAGGTCACATTTTCCCCTAGGGGGTACTATTTTTTTTTTAAATCGTTGATGATAGATATTTGAACCCACTCCCCCCTTAAATTTTCATGCCAATATTTTCACTAGATATGTCTGGGAGATATTCTTTTTGGATTCATAAATTAACTGAGAACTTAATTATACAAACAAAGTAAGGGGGAACATGTTACAATTTCTCACACATATCGAGAAAAACACATTCTAATACGGCTTCCGACTAATTTGCACTAATCAATAATGCAAGGGGGAACATGTTAGTTATATTAATTGTTAAATTTCCCTCTTTCTAGCGCCTGATGTGCAGATCTTGCGTTGATACATATTTAGAATGTGCTCTCAATAGCTTAAGTTATCGGAGTGTGGCTAAAATCTATAATATAAAATAGGGCATGCCTCAATAAACTCATCCGACGGTCTCAAATAAACTCATTCAATAACCATTAATATTTCTCTTAAAATCATTCACATTAAATTTTACATTCCGCTCTTGATTCTCTCTCTCTGAGATCTTCACTCATTATTTCTCCAAATTAATCGGTTGGTTTACATTATACTGTGCTTTCAGGTATGGGTTACCTCCAGTAATATATATTTCTCAAGTCTCCTTGCGTGCGACAAGATTGCTAACAACTTACCTCTTTAGCATTAGGTAACATTATATAAACTTGTAATTGCTATCACCACCATATAATAGCTATTGCTACTAGTGTAACAAAATTGAGAGGGTGAGCCCCAAGGGATATCCTAGTGGAGAGTAGGATGAGTTCTAAACCTCTACGTACTGAGTTTGAAACTTGACAATTCCCTAGAGGTTAGACCATGAATTTCCTAGTGTCAGCGTGGATGACTTGCCTTTAACTGAACCGAGAAGGGAATTAATCGAAATGAATGTAAGCTGACTTGAATACTCTCTGATTGTAATATCAGAAAAAATAAAAAAAAATGATGGGGGTGTTCAAATGCCATTATTGACACCAGTTTTGACATGTATAAACCAAAGCATGTTTATCACTTTGAAACTGCTGGATTTTTCTTTATGTCAGGTAACGATGATTAGTAGTGCAACAATATGAGCCTAAGCTTCAAATAGAGTATGGGATATCAGTATGAACTTACCCTCAACTTTATGTTCTGGCTTCCTCTGTTTCCTCTGCTTCCTCTTTCTTAGAAAGATGCAAATGAAAACGACAAGAATCACAGAGATGACTGTTGAAATAACAATAGCGTAGATAGTACGAGCTGTGTTATTGTCTTTGCCTCCTGCAAAAGAATAGAAGTATGCTTTGATTATGGTTGCGAACATAGATCAAATCCCAAACGAGTAATGGAGATGTGTTTGTTTAGATTGACCAAAAAAGTTGAAAAGTATGCTTCTATTATGATTGCGTAGATATATCTAATGTCAAATGAGTAATGGAGATGTGTTTGTTTAGATTAACCAAAAAGGTTGAAAAATATGCTTTAATTATGGTTGCATAGATAGGTCTAATCCCACACGAGTAATGGAAATGTGTTTGTTTAGGTTGACCAAAAAGGTTGATTTTCCAAAATTTTTAAAACCATCGGGATGGATTTAATTTTTTGTAAACCCTAAGGGATGTCAACGTAATTTACTCAAAAAGAAAAGGTGAAAAAAATGAAACTCTATAGAGTTGTAGCAATTACGGGCGCCGCTATTTAAAATTAATTTATTGATCTAATTTGTTAAATTAATCAATCATTGTTATTGAATTAACATTGAACTTCAATATTTGTTAAGATCCGCTACTAAGTAAAAGATTATGATAAATTATGTCAATAAATTAAGTCAAAAAATAATATTATTGAGCAATTAAATACTAAGAAATAAGCCAAAGATATCATAAGAAAGTACCATAGGAAAACAATTCGTGTAAATTGTTGCTAAAAAAAGTTCCATATGGTTTTATTCAATTTAAAAAGAGTAAATTGCATTTTAACCTACTAAACTATTTCTCTTATTTCACTTTGTACTCTCAACTATAAAATTTATCACATTACACCATAAAATATAAAAAAAAAATTTCATATCACTCCAATAAATACCGACAAACTTGAAATCTGTCAAATGAGGGAGGGAAACCCTAATCAGCTTCCTGCTAAGGGTCTATTATCACTTTATTTTATCTCTTTTGCAAACAAATAGTTGTTGTGATGAAAAAGGAAGTCAGTCAAAAGAAAAAAAATTGAGTTTAGAAAGGACAATAGGCAGTTGGTTATTAGTAGTACAGATCAATCACATGTGTATTTACCATCAAAAAATTGACAATAGTTATTTATTGGAGTGATGTGAAACAAAATTGATATTTTCTGGTACAATGTGAAAAAAATTATAGTTTAAAGTATAAAGTAAAGCAAATGTAATAGTTCCAGAGATAAAATGTAATTGAGTAATGTTATGTTGACCAAAATTTTGGATCAAATTTAGAGTCTAAATGACATGACAGTTGACTTGAATTTTTTATTTGATGTCATATTATTTGAGTCTCAATAAAGACTCCAAAAAATATGCAGTCATATAATCTGAACTCTAATTTAATTCTAAAAACCCTTTAAAAACAACACAAGTGAAACCATACCTCGAGTTGGTGTATCATTATAGAAACGCACGTTCTCAAACCTAAAATTACAGCTCGGTGTTAGAATTCTCGCTCCTAATCTTCTAGTACAACAGACCTGGTGTTGTCTAGCAGCCTCATTTAGACAGTTGATACAATCGTCTTGAGATAAATCAGGAGTGCATTGCGAAAGTGCATATATTGTATCAAAGCCAGGCCCATTTATGTTTCCAGTAGCAACCTTGAGCAAAGAATCACCTGATGCCGCTTGCCCCTTTAGTCTATCCAACAAGGTTCTCAGATCCTGATTAAACTCAACAACGTCTGAGTCTGACACATTATTTTGGTTCCAAGTATACACAGCTTGATCAGTGTGGACAGTGTGAAATATAGTCTCATTTGAGAACCTTGTCATGCAATAATCGTACCATCCGATTGCCTGACTATAGTTTCCACAAACTTGTGGGAGCTTATGAGCAGCGTCGTCGACACAACTGCGACAGATATCCCACTCAACATCTCCACGACAAAGGGCGATCGCGTTAACTCTATCAGAGTTTTCTCCAAAAGAAGCTTGGTAAAAGCCGTATCTACCGATATTGGAGAGAGAGGATAGGAGGGTGTTCTTATTTGACTCATACGTGGGGGTAGTATGGGTGGTGTTCTTATTTGCCTCAAACATCTCCGCCGTAGTAACATTGAGTCCACAGACGTAGCCTTGGAAATCAGGCTGGGCATTGGTGAATCGAACAGAGTTTAGGAACAGGATATGAGAAAGGAAGAAAAGCAAACTCCAATAACCCATTATTACTTACTGTATTCTAGCTGGTGAAGGATAAGATGAACTAGTTTATAATCTCTCAAGTCTCAATTGAATATTGATGACGCGTTCGTCGTCGTCGTCTTCCCTACAGTTTGACTCTTGACTTAGAATATTGATAAAATATTATAAACGTGTGGAAAATTACAGACAAAGCAAAGCAATCATGTCTATTCTCGCGTTTGAAATTTCCTTGCGCGTTCGAGGCTTGCCCTGAACTTCTAGATAGGATAGAAGTAGTCAGCAGAGAAAAAGTCCATTTCTAAAAGGTCCCACAACTTTCGGAGGTTCCACTTAACCCCTTTTACTTTTGAATAAATTACAAATCTTAACAGATCTAATGGTTTTTGCAAGAAGACTAAAATACCATTCATTTGTCATCTAATTTTCTTTGTAATGCCACCTATTCCAATAACTTAACACCCAAAAAAATTACCGGCAAATAGGCAGACTCCTCTCTCAACCACTACCACCACAACCAACCACCACTTCTCACCACCACCTAGTACCACCGTTATCATCGCCGCCCACCATCATCTTCAACCCCCACCACTGTTGCCACCCACCAGGGACGGAGCTATTTTATTGGGCTCTGGTAGCCTGAAATCCAGAGTAAAAATATGACTAATCCAAAGGTTATAGTGGCCTGGTGGCCTAATTTACTGAATTAATTCACTATGACCTTTGGATTGATTGTAGACTCTATCAAATATTAGAATTTGATGTTAATTCGATGGTTCTAATGAAGTCACGTCATTAGGTCAATAAATTATGACAAAATTTTAGGTCAAAATAACATTTTCCTAAAATAAAACTTCCTGGGGGTGAAAGGTAAAGGGTGGTAGTGGGTGGTGGGTGTTGGCGGACTTGGGAAGTGGTGCGAAGGCACACTCAATGTAAACTCAACAATAGTAATTAAAAGACAATGAACTAAAGATACTCTTTACCTCTATATATATAAATATATGTGTGTATACATTTATGTTTGTTACTTTTCGAATCAATTGCTTAATAAGTGAAATTTTGAATGACCTTACTAGTCTGATTTAGTAATGTTGAATGTTGTTTGAATTTTGCGAAATTTATATAGTTGGCATAATATTGTAATACAAAAAAAAGAGAAAAAATAGTTTGGATTAGAAGACAAAAAAAAAAACAATTGAGTTGGACTTAATGACTTAAAAAGTTCATGCTTGAACTTATTAACAAAAAGGGTTCCAAATTATAGTTTACAATAATTTTCACTACAAATTTTAAAAATTATTATAAATAGTTAGACCAGTAGCTTTTATTAAAAAATTATAATGGATTTGACTGATTTAAATTTTTTAAATTCAATTAAAAAATAAAATTTAAAAATTATTTTTGGATTTGTTGGACCAAAACAGTTTTTTAAGTGTAAAAACTGAATTTTGTCGACTTTGAGCCTAAATTAAAGTAAGACCTGATTGTTATTTCGAAAAAAAATTTGTGGGTTCATATTCTACTTTGTGAGGAGAATAATGTAGTATATTCACTTGCTCAAATCGAGTAAGAAATGAATGAGAAAATAGGCTTCAAAGTGACCCTATTGAAATGTGAAAATAAAGGAAGTGCAATGTGAGATGTGACACCAATTCCACATTGGTTGAGGAAGAAATTCAATATGGGTATATATAGGCCAAGTTTACTCTATGGGATTGGGCTCCAAAGGGTACCACAGTTTTATGAGAGGAACGAACACCTACATGCTTTCGGTTCAACCACACACATGCCTTTGGTTCACTTACATGCCTTCGGCACCTACATGCATTCGTGTTCTGCAATCGGGTTAGTATTTATATTGGTTTAATAAACAGTTACGTATAACTGTTTACTGTAACTCTTTCATGTTAGATTATTTATGTGTAACAGTTTCATTCTTGTTTGTTGTATATCAGAAACTTCAATAAGTGATTTTACAATTTTGGAATCCCACAAAAAACAATCTTAAGACAGATTTTCTCGAATTTGTATAATTTCTTGTTGTGTTTCTGATACATGTTTTAATTTTTAGACTGTTTTAAAATATTGCAAATTGTTAAATCCTGTTTTGTTTACAATCTGTGATATTTTGAAGAGACTTAAAAATTTGTGAAAAATTGCATATTCTATTTTTTGTGTTTAAATTCAAACAGTTACTTTGTTTCTATGTATGTTTTAAACAGTTACATCAAACAGTGATACCATACAGAAATGATAAAACAGTAACTTCAAAATTAGGGACACTGTCTATATTTTAATAACTTGCTTTGAAAAGTGTTACTGTGTTTCTATTTTTGAATAGTTTGTAATCGTTGTTTATCAGAAATGACTGCAAATGATAATATTGTTTCTGCTACTACAAATCATGTTGTGTCTGTGGTGTCTATTTCTGTTCCTACTCATGTGTCTCATTGGGAGAAACCCAAAAAGTTTAATAGGAATGATTTTAAGAGATGACAACGAAAAATACTGTTTTATCTTACTACGTTGAATCTTGCAAAGTTTCTTTGTGAGGATACTCCTGTTTGTAGTGAGAATGAAACCGACCGCCAAGTTGCTGCTGCGGTGGATGCATGGAAACACTCTGATTTTCTATGCAAAAATTATATCATCAATGGATTGGATAACACATTATATAATGTATATAGTCCAATCAAGACAGCTAAAGAGTTGTGGGAATCCTTGGATAGAAAATACAAGACGGAGGATACCGGAATGAAGAAATTCATTGTGGGGCAGATTCCTTGATTACAAAATGGTGAATTTTAAGACTATCGTAAGTCAAGTTCAATATCTTCAAGTGATCCTACATAAGATTCATGCCGAAGGGATGGTGCTTAGTAAATCTTTTCAAGAGGCTAAGATTATTGAAAAATTACTACCAAATTAGAAGGATTTCAAAAATTATTTGAAGCACAAATGCAAAGAAATGAAACTTGAAGACTTGATCTTGAGATTGAGGACTGAGGAGGATAATAGAGTCTCCGAAAAAAAATTTGGCAATAATTCCTTAGAGTCAAAGGCACATATGATTGAAAAGGGACATAAAACTAACAAGAAAATAAAGCATGTTGGCCAACAATGGGTTAAGGGTGGTGATTCCAAAAGGTTCAAATACAACTACTTTGTGTGCAATAAACAGGGACATTGTGCAAAGGATTGTCGAAGCCGTAAAGCACAAGTGAACCACAAGAGAAAGACTGTTCAAGCCAATATAACCGAGGTAGAAAAATTTCTTGAAAATGTTTATAATATTAGTTTTTCTGCTGTAGTATCCAAAATAAATTTGGTGAAAATACCAAGGAATGGTGGGTGGATACTGGGGCCACGAGACACATATGTTCGGATAAGAAAATGTTCTCTTCATATGAAGCAATTAATGATGGAGAACAACTCTACATGAAAAATTCCTCTACTTCCAAAATTGAAGGCAAAAGAAAAGTTATATTGAAGATGACTTCCAGAAAAGAACTTACTCTCAATGATGTGTTATATGTTCCAGAAATTCGAAAGAATCTTGTGTCTAGATCGTTGTTGAGTAAAAGGGTTTTATGTTGGTTTTTGAGTTCGAGAAATTTGTACTCACCAAGAGTGGGATTTATGTAGGCAAAAGATATATAAGCGATGAGCTCTTTAAGATGAATGCAATGACAATTGTATATGATTTTAATAAAAAGAACACATCTTCTGCTTATATGTTTGAGTCTTCTAATATATGGTATGGTAGATTAGGACATATTAATTTTGATACTTTGTGTAAATTAATGAATTTAGAATTGTTGCCTAAATTTAATATTTATGCAAATCATAAATATGAGGCATGTGTTGAATCAAAATTAACTAGAGCATCATTTCATAATATTGAAAGAAGTACTGAACCTTTAGAGTTAATTCATAGTGATACATGTGATTTAAAATATGTTCAAACTAGAGGTGGAAAGAAATATTTTGTTACATTTATTGATGATTGCACAAGATATTACTATGTATATTTGCTAAGAAATAAAAATGAAGTATTAGAAAAATTTGTGCACTATAAGAATGAAGTTGAGAATCAACTTGACAAAAAGATTAAGACAATGTAGTGAATATAACACACCTTTCGATCGGTTCTATCAAAAACATGATATTATTCACCAAACTTCTGTGCCTTATACACCTTAGCAAAATGGAGTTGCTGAACGTAAAAATAGAACATTGAAAGAAATGATGAATGTCATGTTGATAAGTTCGGGATTATCTCAGAACTTGTGAGGGGAAGCTTTTTTTTTCAGTAAATTATATTTTAAATAAACTACCCCACAAGAAGTTAGATAAAATCTCTTACGAATTATGGAAAGGAAGGAGTCCTTCTTACAAATATTTAAAAGTGTGGGGTGTTTGGCTAAAGTGATGGTTCCTAGTCCCAAAAGGATTAAAATAAGATCTAAAACTATTAATTGTATATTTATTGATTATGCAATAAATAGTAATGCATATCGTTTTCTAGTGCATAAATCTGATATTCCTGATATACATGTCGATACAATCATTGAGTCAAGAAATGAATTATTTTTTGAAAATGTATTTCCTAGTAAAAATGCATGTGATAGGAGTTCTCTTAAAAGAGCCCATGATAGTGTGACTAGTAATATAGACAATGAGTCTATAATTGAAAAAAGTGAAGAGGCACCTAAACGCAGTAAGAGGGCAAGGAATTTCTAGTCCTACAGTACAGATTTCTAACATATTTGTTAGAAAAATGAGCTTCAAAGCTTTAATGAATCTATGTCCACTCCTGAAGCACCTATGTGGAAAAAAACTGTAAACAGTGAAATTGAATCCATCATGCAAAATTACACCTGAGAGTTGGTAGATCTTCCACCAGAGAGTAAATCATTGAGGTCTAAATGGATTTTCAAGAAGAAAATGAAAAGTGATAGATCAATTGATAAGTACAAGGTTAGACTTGTAGCTAAAAGTTACAAATAAAAGAAAGGTCTTGATTACTTTGATATATATATTCTCTCGTATGAGAATAACATCTATTCGTATGTTTATAGCTATTGCAGCATTGCATAATCTTGAGATATACCAAATAGATGTGAAAATAGCTTTCCTAAGTGGTGACTTAAATGAGAAAATTTATATGGACAAACCCGAAGGGTTTGTTTCTCTTGGATAAGAGAAGAAAGTGTGTAGACTTGTTAAATCACTTTATGGTTTAAAGCAAGAACCAAAACAATGGCATGAGAAATTTAACAAAGTAATGATGTCAAATGGTTTCACAATTAATGAATGTGATAAATGTGTCTATGCTAAAGACACAAATAATGGATATGTCATTATTTGTCTATATGTGGATGATATGCTTATTTTAGGTAATAATAATAATATTATTACAACTATCAAGAAAATATTATCCAGTAAGTTTGACATGAAAGATTTTGGTGTTGCAAATATTATATTAGGAATTAAAATTTCTAGAATATCTGATGGACTTATATTATTTCAATTACATTATATTGAAAAAATACTTGAGAAGTTCGACAAAGATGAAAGAACCATTGCTAGAACACCAGTTAATATAAATCTTCATTTGTCTAAAAATACTAGCCAAAACATATTACAATTGAAATACTCCCGTATTATTGGAAGTCTAATATATGTTATGAATTGCTCTAGACCGGATATAGCGTACTCAGTTAGTAAATTGAGTAGATATACAAGTAATCCGGGAGTAGACTATTGGAAGACAATTATCAAAGTTCTTAGATACTTAAGATATACCCTGAAGTTTGGATTGCGCTATACAAAATATTCAGCTGTACTTAAAGAGTATAGTGCTGTAAACTGAATATCTGATATGAAGGACACAAAATCTACAAGTGGTTACGTTTTTACATTGGTAGTGCAGCTGTATCTTGAAAATCCTCTAAGCAAACATGTATTGTCAGATCAACAATATAATATGAATTTATTGCTTTAGATAAAGCAGGAGAGGAAGCTGAGTAACTTCGCCAATTTCTAGAGGATATTCCAATATGACCTAAACTTGTACCAGCAATTTGTATACATTGCGATAACCAATCTGCAATTGGTAGGATACAGAGTGACATGTATAATGGTAAGTTTAGACATATACGTCGTAAACATAATATCGTTAGACAATTGCTCTCAAATGAGATTATTTCTATTGATTATATAAAGTCAAAGGATAATTTAGCACACTACAAAAAAATCGTTTTTTGCGACGATTTTTTTTGTCACTAAATTAAAAAAAAATTGTCACCAAAATTTTTTTGTGACATTTTTTTTCGTCGCGTGTTTGTCGCAGAAAATATCTTGCGATATAATTTTATTTTTGTCGAAAAAAAAACATTTTTGCGACGTTTTATTTTCGTCGCCAATAATAAAAAAAGTCGCTAAAATCTATTCTAGCAACGTAAAAAATAAAAAAAAATAATTTAATTAATTTTTCGCGACGTAAAAAATTCGTCGCAAATATATTTTTCATAAATAAAATATTTTAAAAAATAATTAAATTCATGTTTCGCGACATACAAAAATCGTCTCGAATAAATTTTTATATAAATAAAAAATTTTAAAAATAATAATTAAATTAAACTTTCGCGACGTAATAAAATAGTCGCAAATATATTTTTCATAAATAAAAATTTTAAAAATAAAAATTTAATTAATTTTAGCGACGTAAAAAAAGCGTCACCAATAATTTTTTTATAAATAAAAAATTTTAAAAATAATAATTAAATTAATTTTTTGCGACATAAAATAATTGTCGCAAATATATTTTTCATAAATATAAAATTTAAAAAATAATAGGATAATTGTATATTTTGCGACGTAAAAAAATCGTTGCAAATATATTTTACATAAATAAAAAATTTAAAAATAATAACTTATTTTATTTTTAACGACATAAAAAAATCGTCACAAATAATTTTTTAAATAAATAAAAAATATAAAAAATAATTAATTAAATAGGATTCTGGATTCGTACACAGCTGCATTTGAGCTATGAAATAGGAGCTGGAAAAAAAATTGATTTCATTCGTCTTGAGTTATAATCACACCATTCAAATATTTAATAAGACTAAGAAAAGGAAAATTTTATTGATAAAAGAAACAATTACAAGAATCAAAGAACAAATTAGTTTGAAAGAATACAAGAAATGACTTCAATCCTTCAAGATGATTAAAACCATTTTTAACTACTTTACTGCGTCTTCTGATCTTCACATTCAACTCCTAAAATCTGTCCAGCTACTAAGCATGCTGTTCAGTACCTTTGAACCAGACAGATTCTGGCAGACCCTTCGTAGCCTTCAAAATGCACAGGTAGCAAACATCTCCAATGCATAACATCACGCTGGCATCATCCCAGCAGCTATCCTCAAACCCTGCTTAGCAGTATAGCATAAACGCAGCAGATACAGCCCCATTAAACTGCCTGCTCCATTCAATATACCTCCTGAACTGATTCTGCTAAAACACATCCAGCTGCAAGCAGTACCCCACAAATAGAAACCTAAGGTCATTACAAAGGCAAGGTACCCTTAATAACAACCTTTCTAAGGCACTAGGCCTGAACGCCTTAGCCTGCATTCTCAAAACCTCACAAACTCTTACAAAAATAGCGCCAGTAGATAAATAGCCCTCATCATAAACTCTCCTACATGATCAATAGGTGCATACATACAAATTGTTTGTGTTTTGCAAATAGTAGCTACAAGGAATAATAAAAAGCAAGCTTGTCTGTAAGCTGATTGAATTGATAGGACTAATGTATTCAGTAAGAATACTGTAGGGGGAGGGGTTTAAATATAAGACAATGTTGAAGTGGCATGATTTAGAAAATAATGACTCAAAACCAGAATAGGTATGCTGAATATTTAGCATCAAATAGTGCATACCTCACCATGATGCCTTTGGAACAATTTCCTCCATTTTACTGTGACAAATGCTGTATAGCTCAACAAGTTCTTTCTGCACAGATATAACATATTAATTCATGGCTTCATGATTTGAATCCAAAATTTGGTATGGCCATAGACAGCTGAACTAAACTGTGTACATATATTTCTGGTGAATACTAGGACTCCTTAAAAATTATTGTAACACATGCAACAACATTGTTCATTCATTTAACATATAAATCATTTGTGTCAAGGATTCATCAGATAGAGGTTTAATTTTCATTGGCCAGAAAAGTGACCTAGTTTCTTCACAGGGGAGTCAAGGCCCCTAACTAATCGATGTACAGGTTAGGAAAGAGTAATTCCACTGAACATTTCTCTAAGCACAAGACTTTTGAGCTATATGGACACCCAAAAGACTTGCAATAATGCAGAAGATGTGCAATCTGGAACTCTAACTTTCATTCTTGCTATGCACTCCATTTGCTTACTTTATGGTGCAATTATATTCTAATCAATTAAGAATCAAGTACACTTCAAACAAAAGTTTGATATGCATACTGTGTCATTGCCAAGAAAAGATTATAACTATTTGTGTGCACACTTGGTGGAAAAGGCATTTACATAGCCATGAGTTGCCAATGTGTATTCATTCCAGACCTAGATTTAAGGGAAGCCTTCCTCATGCAGTTAAATAACTAAAAAATGCACAAAAGTAGCACCTCATCTGAACTGGCTGATTGATCTAACAAAGATGAAGTGCTTTCCATAGCAACTTTTTGAACATCCATTGCATAAACACGACCTCTCTTTGACTGATCAGCAACCATTTTGAGCATTGCCAAGGTGTCATACCCATTTCCACAAGTGGCATCAACAACCGCATCCCCTTTCCGGACAACATGTTTCCACACCCTGTTAAAGGAAATAAACACACAAAAAAAAGGCATCATTTTAAGTGATACTTTGAACTACTTTTATACAAAATATGACTACAGGCCTCTTTAAAGCTTAGTAAAATTGATTAATTGAGCAATTATAGCAACAAAAAAATTTCCTAAAGGATGCAGAGGCTCACAAGTCACAACCTTGGGGCATAAATTGTATTGCCAAAAGCCTCAAAGAAGGCTTCAAAAATTTGATAGTATAGTTGTACGAAGAGCAATCAAAATCCAAGGAACATAGCATATGTAAATTCATTTTTCAAATCCGCATGTTGGGCCTAGCAGTAATGCAAGCTGTGCTGCATGCACTACCAATTCTCATGACAACGAGTGAAGTTGATTAATATGGGAGTTTTACTGTTCAACTAACTGCACCAATAGTGAGCTAACACAAAGCTATTGAAATCATTGGAATAAAACAAGAAGACTGAAAGAGCATGAAAGCAGGGTGAAAAAGATGATTCATATTTTTTCACAATAACTAATACATGCATGCCCATGTTCCATATAACCAAGATTTGAACCCAACACGTACTACTTTGCCAGCAGCGGGAGATACCACTCAAGTTAACAGCAGATGATCCCTCGATAACTTTTTCAACTTTGCCAAAATAGAGTTTTAAAAAGATGGTAGACATATTAATGCAGACAGGAAGATCGCAAAAAACAAACAAACAAACAAACGAGTGTGGCAAATTTCTAAACAAAACATCACCAAAATTGATGAAACAAGACAATGTGTTCCAATCTTTCCTTGTGTATAATTTCGTAGTTCATGCAAGCTCATAGATGAAAACTAAGAAACTTAAAACTCTACCACCAAAATTCATGAAACAAGATAGTGTGTCCCAATCTTTCCTTGTGTATAATTTCTTAGTTCATACAAGCTCATAGATACGAACTAACAAACTTAAAACTCTACTAGATTTAGCATGTGCTTTTGGTAATATCGGTGTTTGTTAGGATATAGAATATGATAGTATAAATGCATGAATGAAAGGATTGGCTGGATTGGAAATACCTTTTGCATTAGTGCAACCACCAACTCAGGGCTCTCTGGTATTCCATGTTCTAGAAAGGCCTGAAGCATTGTGTATATAGTTAGTGGCTCTTTCTTTTATACCAAACACACGGCAAACATGGCATAGGATTTAAAGTGAATGCACCAACCAATCCAACCACTCCCGATATATGGAGGACTATCCAAAATATATCTTAAATAGTTTATTGAAATATGTTCACAGAATGATTTCACATACATTCATCATGCACGAATTGTAAGTGTTGATCCAAAAAGCAAGCTTCTCTTGATGGTTAAGGCCTTGTAAGTCAACCAATGCAAGTTTCCCAAGTGGGAGTCTGAGAAAATAAGAGACACTATATTTAAGCCCAAGCAGATATGAGACATATGAATTCAAATTTTGAGCAAAGACCTGTAATTTCTGATACCCCTAGCAGTGCAACACTGTGCACCATCCTTTCTAGACAACACATTAAGATACAAAGAAGATTGTTGTGATGTCTGAATTTTCAAAAGCAACTAAACAAAATATAGGACATTTTTCATGGTCAACAAACTTTTCATGCTCAGTTTCAAGAGAAAATTCTTGACTAGGTTAGCCATCAATAGTGTCCAAATCTGCAGGCCGGACACTATGCCATAACTGTGTCATAGTGGGTGTTTCCTTGCAAGCACGTGACATAACTTTATTTGGACAGTTAAACACATGAATTAAATTCCTAGAATTTATGGGTAACACTGAACATGCACATAAATTTGTCGATGAAAAGAAAATTCAGCAAACTTAACTTAGTGATCCATTGACAGTCAAGCAAGGACAAGACTCATTTTAAATAGTTTGATCATTTGCAAACAAAGGCCAATTTCTTCTGAAGAAGGAAATAATAATGTCCCTTTGTGCAAAATGAAGCCACTATACTCCTTATCAGGATCCTAGCATCAAATAACTTCAAACAGGTGATCATGTAAACATTCGTATGAGCCATGAGCACATATCAACATAATAAATGGTACCTTGAATGCAGGTGCACAAGATATATTTGACATGGTTATTAGAATTGAGCCCTTTGCACCCATTTTAACAATCACCCATTTTGTGCGGAACCCTTTCCTAAGCAACTCCTGGGCTGCCAGTATTGGATTTCCTATGCCAGTCAATGATTTAGCCTGACAAGCCATCAACATAAGCTATATTACTAGGATGAAAAGTGAAAATTATACTAGACTGGATGATGCTAGGGTCCTATCCAAGTCTAATAAGAGGGTACAGATTGCATAAATCTATCAATTAGTTCAGGCCAACTTCAGAATTTACACTTCCTACAAAAAATGAGATGGAAACAAAATTTGTAATGCCAACAAGTTGTGGCATTAATTGATTGAATATTGTGATGGTTTATTCATCTTTGCAGCCGACACAATCTTCAAAAGATGCTGTGATTTGAGCAGAATAAATGGAGGATTGGTGCATAGATTGTTCAATTTGTTCAAACATACCAGTCAAATTGGAGGGAAATCAGTAAAAGGCTCGTAACAATATGATACAAAATAAACAACTATCAAGAGTTAACATGCGCACAAAATGAGGTAACCAAACAAAATATTTATATAGAACGGTGGCAACAAGCCAATTACAGCAAGGAAATATCCGTGTTGGTAAAAGCTGAGGTAGAAGTGATGTTTAACCTTGTCATAACTATGTAAAGCTATCAAGGATGCATGTTGAGGTAGTTAGGAATACATTAACGATTACTTTGATAGCAAAAATAGCCATGCACATCATCGGTTGCTAAATCAATTTTCATAATCCATGGCAAATAATTGGGATAAGGCTTAGTTGAGTATATAATCCCCTCAAAAATAAGATACAATGATAGAAGGCTATGGTGAAGGAAAGAAAAGGAAAGTGCTCATACAGTCTATGAAGACTTACAAGTCAAACCTCCTCAGACGTTAGCAGAAGAACATCACTCATCCTCAAGAACTTGTCAAGTGCTCTCTGTTTTTCGGGTGTTCCTATCACTCGGGTCTTTCCCTGTGGTCCAGGATAAAAAAAATGGCTGTCCCAACTTCAAAAGCATAATCCAGGCAGAAATAATCAAACAAGGGGAGAGTTCATCAAAGCCATAACCATTGCAGAACAGGAGCTTTGATTGCTTAATTGTCATCTTTACTTCAATAGACAGCTTGCTCAGCCAACTGAATGCAGGCTCTTTACAAAAATCTGCTCGACTGATAATTAAGCAGAAGGTGTGATGCACCATCCTTTGCTAACAACAATTCATTCGAACATTACTTCTATCGAAAAATTTGTTTCCCTATAAAATTTATATAAATTTAAAGAAGGAATAAACCTTTTAATTGATTACTTATACCTGCAAAAACTATGTCTGTGAAAAGAGTCCACCAAAACCCAGCATAGAAGTGTCTCATATGCAACACGTGAACTGTCAACATTGTCATTCAGGTCACTCATCCCAACCGTACCAATTCCTTCATCATGAAGAACATCTAAGAGGAAGCGGCACATACATTTCATCACCAACATGACCAATTGCAACACAATGAAGTCCCAGTCTTGCTGCTGCTATGGCCATATTGCAGTTACCACCAACTTCCCAGTATTGCTATGAGCAATAACAAATTCTGTAAGTCCAAAACTGTGGTGAATAAGGGAAGAACATAGAAAAACAAACACAGACTAATATCTACAAACATGTATGGACACGTGTGTCTGTGTGTGAGAGAACAGTGTTCTAACTACGGGATACATGAGAATAGTGTTCTAACTATAGGATACAATAATATGCATTCATACAAGATACATGAGAACAGTGTTCTGACTACTCCTTTAGAAAGTAGCATCCCAGTGTGCATGAATACATGATACATGAGAATAGTGTGTTCTAACTACTCCTTTAGAAAGTAGCATCCCAACCGTATTTAACTGCCAACACCCCCATCAGCGGGAAAGGGAATAACCAACATATATGATATATCCCATAATCTAAGTTTGCAATCGCAAGCTCATATAAATAAACCATCAAAGCATCAAATCAATGCTCAAAGAACATTTAAATGGTGAAGTAGCTAGAAAATAAGCTCATACCTTCAATCGAGAGACGGCCACCACTGTATTGTGCTTGCCTCGTCAAGTCTTTGTTGCAAATTATCTAGTAAACGTTTCATTCTCTCTGCATTGTCTGTGAATGCAACCTTACTTCTTTCTTTCCATGAATTGAGGAGCATTGATCTAAAATGATGTGCTAAAGGAACAAGAATTGTCTCGAGATCATCTATACCTACAAAGTTACATCACCATGTCTGTCAACATCAAGCAAAAACGAAATGCCTAATCACCCAGATAATCAATAAGATAATTGTAACTAAATTCAGAGCACCTTGTTCTTCAAAGTCAGGGACTAGCACCATGATCTTTTGTTATGTCAATAATCATTGTTGAATCCTACAGTGGAACCCAAAGTAAGATACATGCATTAGTTTCAATACAAATGGAGACCAATTGTTCCCATACCTTGCCATTTTTCTCATCGAGTTTCTTGATCTTTTGCTTCATGTGCTTTAAATCTTCACAGTATTTAACATCCTGTCTTTCAAACTTCTTCACTATTGAGTTTGATCTAGTGTCAACTAGCATTAGCATGTATGAAAAGGTTTCTAAGACAAGACATGCATATCTTAAAACCAAAAATTTACTCTTACAAAAATTTACTGCAGCCAGCTTATTGGACAACACTACATCTAGTAGAGCACTAAACGAATACCTGAGAAACAAGAAAGTTTGCCATCTACAAAATATGTCGGAAAGATTATCCAAGCAGAGGCCAGTAAACCAACTGTACAGTCACGTGATACAAAATAACCAAAACCAAATCAACAGCTCCACCCAAAAACTTCCTCCAGACAATTCTAAAGCAACAACCAACTAAACAAATCACTTTCAAAACCAAAACTAACAACCTGCCAACTGAAATGCCCGGAAGTGGAACACATTATGGAATCATACAATATTTAAATACATAACAAAAAGATATTTCGTCAACCACTTTAATGCAGAAGTCCATAATTCATCTGTTATAAAAACGAAAATAAAATACATTAATAAATTATCAATCAAATTTTTCAAAAACACTTAAGTGTTGAACTTAAAACGATAGTAAAAAGAAACTAACTAAGACTCAGGTGGCATGTCTGCATTAGTTGAGTTGCCCTGTAGAGCACGTTGCAGTTGAAGTTGCATCTGCAAAAGTTGTTGCATCATCTATTGTTGCGCGTCTTCAAACTTTTGTTGCATGCCTTCAAACTTCTCTAGCTTCTCTTTTGTTTCATCATGTTCCTTTTGAAGAGTATCAACAATTGTTTGCAACTCTTTTATCATATCAGCTTGTTCTCGATACTCAGCAGTGCATCTGAATGACTGACTAGAGGATGATGGCTTTGGGCCATGTCCAAATCCTTTCTTATATCCAGATCAGCTACCAAGGACTGTGCATGCAATTTCATCATGTGTCAATGGCTCTACATCCTCTTCTAAGTTCTGTGTAGTCAATTCTTTCATCTGCTCCTACAATTTAATATATTTAAACCCAATTATTGAGTGTATCATAAAAATTTATTTAAAACAAAAAAACATAATTTTCTACAATTTTAAATACTTACATATCTTGACTTTGCCTCATCAGAAACCCACTCACCCTTCTTGTTCACATGAGAATCGTGAAAAAAATCAACAATGTGGGGTGGCTCATTAGTCGTAGGATCCCTCTATTACAGTTAATCAAAATATCAATATTCAAATTTATGAATTTCCTATATATTAAAATTTAGAAAGCAAATGTTAAAGTATAACACCTTTTCATATAGGGCAAACTGAAAGGACTTTGAACCCATTGAGTGGTTATATGACAGTTTGGCATGATTTTCTGCATTTTTCTTAGATTTTTCCTATATAGAAAACATATATTTAGTACATAATTGGGAATAAAAGTGGATATTAATTTGCATACCTTATAAAAGTTACCTGAAATTTTGGATCCTTGTAAAATATTTCAATTATGTACTCTCAATCCTCCTGACTCACATCACCATATGGCTTGCTCTTTGGGTCAACACCAGACTCAACCAAATTCTTGTAGTGCATATGCATATAGTATCAGTGGTCCCTATACCTTGCATCAAATTTTTTGTCAACGACCTTACTAACACCAACTTTTTCACGATAGTCTCTAATGTTAAATTTTGTCTACAACAAAATATAAATGAACAAATTCATTACAACATGTTGTAACACTCTATGCAAATAAATATAATTTCCCACTACCAAACAAATATATCCACTAACCAACAAACGTGCAATGAGTGGTGCCTTCTCCTCTTCGGTTATTTGCTTCCATTTGTGGACATTTCTGATAGGGGCAAATGTCCTCGCCAGGATGCCAATCTCTATCATCATCTTCGAAGAATGTACACCCACTGGAATGCCGACTCCATCAGGAATCAAAACATCTAGTGGGCTGTAAGCTGCACGAAGACGCTCAACATTTCCCCCCTAGACAGTCCTCGACCTCGTTTCTTTGCGGTAGAAACTGTTGCGCAAACATTAATAACAGATGTTAGCCAACCATATTAAGACAACTATGTTTAAAAAATAAAGTATGCATCAAACCTATACTGCTAGCCTTAGTGCCAGCAAGAGGTTGTGATGTAGGTGGATCCGATGATACAGCCCTAACATGTGTACTCGAGGATGCACCCCTAGTAGGTGCATCAGAGGATGCAACCTTACTTGCTATTGTGGTGGCTCGACGACTTGGTCTCATGTATATACAACACCTGAACTATAGAAATATATAAGTTATATCGACAATATTCAATTATGAACATTATATATAAGTCATAATTTATTAATTACCATGAAAATATCTTAATAATTTATCTACATATCTGACTCTTCATCAGAATCAAAATGGGAATGTACATCATCATCTTCTTCTGAATCGACATACTTTACTTGTGACTCATCATTGTTATCACATATGAAAATCATCAATGTTATTGTCTTCTCTGCTTCCCCAATGGACAATCCGGTCTAGAGGAATGATTTTTGGATCAAGATCAGTCCTATGAAGTTGACCTATTTCGTTATCTTCGACCACTATAGGAGCAACCTCTGTTGATTCATCCTGTTGGAATGCATCACTTGGAAGATATGATTTATTTTCACTAACTTCTATATCTTCTAACTCAGGAACATCCCATATTCCTCGATGATGTATGTGTTGCACAACTTGCCAATCCTTACCCAATTTTGTATCATTAACATAAAATACTTGTTTCACCTGATCAGGTAGGACAAATAGTTCATTTTGATACCATCTACTTTTCACATTAATACTTGTAAAATGAGCATCAGTCTGAACTGTTTTCCCACTACCAAGGTTGAACCATTCACATTGGAACAAAAAAAATACTATGGCCAAATATGTAACTCATCTCCCACACCTTATTTGAGTATCCGTAGAAGTTAATTGTTTTGTTATTATGTTCTCCTTCGACAACTACCCTATTGTTTTGGCTTTTTCGACGATTATCACACTCTTTAGTGTGGAACCGGACACTATTGCATATTGCCCCATAGTACAATTTTATTGTCACATCAGGACCGTTTGTTAGTGACCATAATTCATCAGTTGCTTCATGTGACCCTTCCTCTCGTAACTGATTCATCTACGCACATGAATATGAAAGTTTTTATGGTTTTACAACTAATGCAAATAATGTTTATAATCTAAATTTGTATAGCTTACACGTTTTGCAAACCACTTGAAAAATTCTGCTTGGTGGCGACGAGTGATGTCACCATTTCTTTCCAACTCTAATATATTTTTGTGTTCCCTACGTATAAAACCATAAATTTGACATATAAAATATTTTAAACAATTACAAAGTACAATAAGAATGCTCACAACTATGTATATTTAACATACACATACTCTAGATACAGATCCAGTTCGAGACTATTATGTAGGACAAACCAATGAGCCATCTCTCGTTCCTATTGAGAGACCTCAATTGCTCTTGTAATTCGCCCAAAAGGGCGAATATTTTGAGTGAACACAGCTAACCCATGCACATTTTCAACTCGATCTGCATTTCGTTCCTTGCGATTAAAAACTGTTTCGATGCCAGTAAGATACATCGAGCAAAAAGGTAAGACATTCTTTAACAATATAGGCCTCTGCAATTGAACCTTCTGGATGAGCTCAATTACGAACATATCATTTTAAAGTTCCGAGATACCTTCAATAAATCACAAAACATATAAGGAGATAATAACAAAATCAAATGAAAAGCTAATAACAATTTAAAATATCACCTTTCCATTGGGTACATCCACCGATACTGCACTGGTCCAGCAATCTTAGCTTCCCTTGGCAAGTGAACTGCTAAATGCACCATAACATTGAAGAATGCTGGTACAAATATCTTTTCTAACTTACAAAGAATAAGTATTATGTTATCTTGTAGTGCATCCAAGTCTTTTACTATCAATGTCTTTGCACAAAGTTGTTGAAAAAAATTTTCCAGCTCAAATAAAGTGGTACAAATTTTCTTGTCCAAGTAACCACGAATTCCAAGTGGAATAAGTCGATGCAGAAGAACATGACAATCATGGCTTTTCAGGCCAGATACCTTACCATCCATCTTGCTCACAGACCTCGATATTTTTGTTGCATATCCATCTGGATACTTAATTGATTTCAAAAATTCACAGAACCTTTGTCTTTCTTTTGGAGACAAAGTGTACCACGCAGCTGGTTTTACATATGCCTCCCCATTCTTTTGGAGGTGCAATTCTTTTATGATATTTAGGTCCTCCAAATCCAGACGAGTTTTATCTGTGTCCTTATTCTTGCCATCAATACTCAACAACGTGCCAAGCAAACTATCACATATATTCTTCTATATGTGCATGACATCAAGGTTGTGTCGAATCTTAAGCACATGCCAATACGGTAACTCAAAAAAAATGTTCTACTTTGTCCAATTAAGTTCCTCAGATGACCGCTTTCTTGTTCGATTGTTTGGATGCTTCCCGAATTGCACATTTGGTAAACACTCTAGCTGATCTAAAATCTCTTGACCCAATAACTCACAAAGGTTTTGATTTTTTCTTAATCTTACCATTAAATAACTTACTTCGTCGCTAGCTGTGATCTTGCAGCAAGTAACGCCGATAGCCCGTGTAGCCAATTTTGCTTCTTAATGGCTGTGATAATGCATCAAAATTACAAATGGGACATGCCTTGTAACCTTTTGTACTCCATTCAGATAGGTTCCCATAAGCAGAAAAATCATTTATGGTCCACATAATAGCTGCACGCATTTGAAATGTCTGTTTGCTACATGCATCAAAAGTTACAACACCTTCCCATAATTCTTTCAACTCATCAATTAACAGGCGCAAGTATACATCAATCTCCTCCCAGGTGCCTGTGGTCCTGGAATAAGCAATGACATTATGAAGAATGGATCACTCATACATTTCCAGGGAGGCAGGTTGTAAGGCATCAAGATCACTGGCCACATATTGTAAGAGTTGCTCATGTTGCTAAAAGGGTTAAAACCATCAGTGGC